TACCTGGATTTGGTTTTTAATTTCATTTGTGTGTCAAGGAGTTACATCTCATTGGACGAATCATGAGTTCAAGGTGTAAGTTTTAAGAGAGATAAAGGGTGAGCTGGCTTTTCCTTTTTCTGGTACAGAGTCTTGAACCCAGGACCTTAAACTCACTCGATTCCCTTTCTCATAGCTGGCACGCTGTAGGACTTGTGTCACATCTCCAGCTTGACTCTTTGCTGGTTAATTGGAGATGGATTCTCACAGACTTTTCTGTCTGGGCTGGTTTCAAACAGTGATCCTCCAGATCTCAGCCTCTTGAGTAGCTGGGATTACAGATGTGAGCTTCTAGTATGTGGTCTCCATTTAGTTCCTTTATTTTTTTTTAAATTTCAATTATTATAAAGGCGATTTACAGAGAGGTTATATTATATGTCAGGTAATGAGTACACTTTTTTTGCAACAATGTCACCCCTTCCCTCACTCTCTCCCAGTTTTCCCTCCCATCCATACCAACAAGTTGCTTAGCTCATTTTCAACATAGTGCCCAGTGAGTGCCATTGCTGCATTCATTCACCCTTTGTCCCTCCATGTCTGTGCCTCTCCTTAGCCTCCTAAAGACATATAAATGAACTAACAGAACAAAAAGAAAACAAAAACAGCACAAAAGAAAAACCTTATATTCAGTTCCTGAAGTTCATTTTAATAAATATTATTTGGGGGCTGGGAAGGTGGCTCAGTGGTAGAGTGCATGCCTTGCATGCCTGAGGCCCTGGGTTCGATTCCTCAGCCCCACATAAGCAAAAAAAAGAAAAAAGCCGGAAGTGGCGCTGTGGCTCAAGTGGTAGAGCGCTAGCCTTGAGCTGAAGAGCTGAGGGACAGCGCTCAGACCCAGAGTTCAGGCCCCACGACCGGACCCCAAAAAAATATATATATATATATATTATTTTGTATGATCAGTTTCACATTTCTCTTCCTTTCCTAAGAATGTCCTCCTTTGGTCTCACTGTGTGTGATTGAGTTCACCCCCCCTCCCCCTCCCATCGTGAGGCTTGAACTGTGGGCCTGGGCGCTGTCCCTCAGCTCTTTAACTCAAGGCAAGTGCTCTACCACTTGAGCCACAGCGCCACTTCCGATTGGAGATCAGAGTCTCACGGACTTTCCTATCAGGGCTGGCTTTGAACTGCAATCCTCAGATTGCAGCCTCTGGGTAGTTAGGATTATAGGTGTCAGCCACCGGTGCCCAGTTCTGTAATTGAGTTCTTTTAAAGTTCTAAATTTTGCCAAATTCCCAAACCCATTTTAGTTATCTTTAAAAATGTTTTTTGCACTCCTAACACTTACTAGGCAGACCCTCTACCACTTGAGCCATACCCCTCTGCTCTTTCTTGCTTGCTTTGATTGACTAGTTTATTGATCAAGAGGGTCTTGAATTTTTGCTTAAGGGTAGCCTCAGGTCTTGATTCTCCTACTTGTCACAGCTGGGATTGCAGGCCTGAACCACCATACCTGCCTTTCTATAAATTCTTCAACCAACTTAGAGAAGATATTTTAATTCCATGTCTGCTAATTCTAGAATATGAATCAATCCATTTATCTTCTTCTGACTTCTTCTAATTATGGGTTCTATTTTCCTGACTCTCATGTAGAATTCTTTGGAAATGAATATTGGTCACTGTGGATGACAAACAATACAAACTCTTGGATTCTGTTTTCTTCTGCAGAGTTTTGTTCTTACACTGACAGATTATTTTGATTCCATGCAGGCTTGGTTTACCATTTTATTGAGTTATCTCCTTCAAACTGATGCTAGTATCATGGAATTTGTCCCTCTAACTTTGGAACTCTCTAAACTCTGTCTTGGCAACACAATACCACTATTGAAATCAATACTCAGCTCTTTGAGTTCTGCCTCTTCCCACTGGTCTTCTTGTAGCCTTGTACTTACCTAGGTCAACAATCAGCCAATGATTTGAGAGTTTATTTGAAATTCAGGGCTCCCCTGATCATTTTATAGATCTATGTCATCAATTTCCACCTGTATTGAAACTCTCACCACTGATTTCAGCCTAGTTAGACCACCACTTTTTACCTGAATGATGTTCTTGTATTACATAAAACTACTCAGAGGGAAAGCCAGGGCAAAGTATCTGTAGTGTTTGCCTGATTTTAGTTGTTTTCTGTACCTCCAGATAGTTGTACATTTTGTCCAGAGTTTATTGGGTGAAAGGTTACTTCAGTATAAATTAGCTACCATTGTATAAAGCTGAACTCAAATCATTCTATGAGCTTGTCCTTATTTAGTTTTATTAACTAAATCTTATCTACTTAACTGTCTGTATACATATACTGGTTATGTTTCATGGAAACTATCTTTTTCTCATTTCTCTGAGTCTTTTGCTTTTGAAGTTTTCTCCATGTGTAGTCCAATTTATATCCCTTGGTTTATTTGCTTTGGTATCCAATATTTGTGTTATAACTTGGGTTTCTTTTTCCTGGTGGCTTTTGTTGTCTAACAGTGTTTAAAGAGACTGAAAATCAGATTGAAAGCTCTGGGCTGGAGCCTATATTACACTTCACAATATCAGCTTGGGCTAGTTGTTGAGTAACCCCAAATGCCTTTAACTCTGCTCATGAGCTGCATAATTCCCCTGAGTAGCTTCTTCCTGTTTCTTCCAAAGGTAGAGGTTTGTTGACCTTCATTCTGAGAACTTGATGAAAAGAAAGCCAGAGGCTTAGCATTTGGTAGGCATACTCTCACTTGATCCCTCCTGTGAGAACTGGCAACTCTGCCAAAAATGTGTCTGGTATCCCGAGGCCCTCCATTTTGTTTTGTTTAGGGAGTAACCATCTAGACTGGTAGGAAGTGGACAGTTCCCAGGGGTTTGGAGTTAGGAGAACTCTAGGGCTGTTTCTCAAACAGGCTTCCACTCATCTTTTTTGCTTCAGCCCTTCTTCCTCATTGCCAGAGGTATCTGATGTCATTTCCTGATCCCTTGGAGAGTTCTTTGAACAAATTGGGCTCTCAGCTTTTCATACTGCCAGCCTCAAGCTTTCTTGTGTGTAAAATCTGCCATCACTCATCATCTTCTTTCTAGCCTCCAGGATTCTGATAATGATTTCTTCTCTGATTTTTCGGAAGAGAAGGAAATGAACATGGATGCCAGGAGCTAGAAACCTTAAAAGAGATTGCTTTCATTACAGTGGATGATTAGAGTACAGAATCTCCAAGTCCTTCTTGTACTTTGAGTACTTCTGAGTAGTCAAAAACCAATAGGGAACATTTTGAAGAAAAAAAAGCACAACTAAGTTCTTAAGAATTGGAGTTAGTACAGACAAAGGTGGCAAATATAGATCAGTACATTTGAGAATTTAAAAAAAAAGGAAATGTGACTCGGGGTCCTTTGTTAGGAAGGATACTGACAGTAGGGAGACACCTTTTCCTAGGGCTGTCAGTACTGCACTGGATGGGAGGTCCTGAAGGTGGCTCTTGTCCCTTGCTTTTAGGCAGTGCTGTGGGGGAAGCTCTAAGCAGGGAGAGACAAGTGATAGGACTTTGTGAGGACAGATGGCAAGCATGAGGACTGTTCAGCTGGGATGCAGAGAGGTGGCATATCTCAGCTGTAGCCAGTGTGGAAAAGGTAGCATGAGCCAAGATACCAATTCCTGAGCTTCTAGGAGGAAAGGGTTGCTTCTGAAAATAAGCAGGTAAATTTAGCACAAATTTACCATGGTAGCTCAGAGATTTGGTCATCTATTACAAGTGGTTTTTCTAGTAGGTGGTTTAATTATGTGGGGATTTGGACAGAGTACACACATACACACACACACACACACACACACACACACACACACACACACACACACACGGCAAAAAAGAGAGATGCTTCTTACAGATCCAGGCACATTTATTGCTTTAATCTAGACACTGAAGAGGACTATGTGCTCTTACTGGACTCTTAGCAGAACACTGGGCTGGATGGAGAATGAGCAGGTTGGTGTAGTACATAAAAAGATCTGAATTAAGAAGACTGAATTCAAATCCTGACTCCTTGGCTTATTTACTGCACTTGAGCAGGTCCTAACTTTCCTGATCCTCACAAGGTTCTGGTAAGCAAAAAACAGTTTCTGACCTAAAGTAGGTCCAATAAAGCAAAGGCTTTTTGATTCCTAAGTCAAATTTATCTGAGTCTTTATTTAACTCACATTTACTGAATTTCTTTTTCAAGGTTGTATCCATGGTGTCTTCCATATTCTAGAAAGGCACGTGGAGTAAAGGCATGGCTTGCTCCATCCTGCAGACCTCCTTCCTGCAGATGGAATGAGGCTGTGAAAGTGGTCATCTAGCTACTTTGTGGCTGCGGAACGCGTAACTAGAAAGGGTCTGTGAGCATTTTCTTCTACCTCAGCCACTCCAGCCACTTCACAAGTAACAAGAATCTGGTCTCACACCTTGCTGAGTAGTATGAGACAGTAATGATATGGTTTGCAGGCCAGGTCTGCTGTTCATTTTTTATAGCTGTTGACAGTTTCCTGATGCCCAGCTTAGGGACAGGACAGTTGAGAGTTGAGGTGGAGTGGTGAAGGAATAGCTCTTGACTCAGGACACTGAGTAAAGGGGCTGAGGCTCATTCTTGTCCTATAGAAAGTGTGTTCATGGCTTGGGTGCCAATCCTGGTGATCAGGTATTACTGCTGAAGAAGAGACTGGGCCTCCTCTTAGCCCACTGTGCTCACCATTTTTCCATATCACTAGAGGAGTTATACAAGGTCTGGCCTGAGGTGCTGCATTTCACCAGCAGCCTCTGTACTTGAAAACCTGGCTTTGAAGATGCTTTGCTGAAGATGCTTCAAGTTTTTCTTGAACTTTTGTTCAGCGTTAAACTACATTGTGAGATTTTATCTGGATTAGTACCTGACCTTTTTCCCCTGATAGTCATCCTATTTGTGGGAGGCTGGTTTCTGTTTTCCCTTTCATCAGAACTCATTTAGCCTTACCCTGTTCCTTCCCTTTTCCAGAACTCACATGCTGCGTGTCAGACTGAGTTATCCCTGTTCTATGCTACAATCCAAGACTCTACTGTCCTGCTGGTGGTCACAGATGTGCCTGGGAAGGAGGCAGCTTCTTCAGTGGGAGCAGAGCTCTGTGTGCACCCTGCGGAGACCCGAAGAGGCAGAAAAGAAACTGTAGGGGTGCATGTTCCAAACCTGCATCTCCGTGGGACCCAGGGGCACCTTCCTTCCCTCTCAGAGACCTTGCTGTCCTAGAGTGACCTTCCTGAGAACTGAGGGCAGCAGGGAGCCACTGGCCTCCTCACTTGTTGGTGTCCACTTCCCCAGAGTGGGGGGCTTGGGTGATGGAGGCTGCTGAACACTCAGAACCCTGCTGCCCTGCATGTGCCAGTCCCACTGTTTTATGCTATGTACTTATGTACAGGAGGAATGTGGCATCTTTCTGAGTGGATTTTCTTAAGACATGTGCCAGTGTTTACACAGTTCATAGTGTTCCCCTGTCCTTGCTGGTATTTGTCGCTTGCCTTTTTCCCAGTAGGCTGCTTCCTTCTCCCTGACCCCCTCCCCTGTTCTCCTGCCTCTCCCCTCCCGTGGCTGCTTCCCGCTCAGGGGAAGTGTTGCTTTTCACCCCTGCATCCTGTATTCATCTGCTCCCACTCCTCAATGGTATGGTTACTCCTGGGTCTGACAGAAGAGAAGGTTCTTGCCTTGGCCAGCCTGCACATGACTCTCAGCAGCTCTATTTTCTTTTGGAAGAGAGGCTGGTTTTCTACTTGGTCCTGGAGAGCTCTAGTGAGAGCAGGTGTTAAACATGCCAAGCGTGTATATCACTGTGACAAGCTATTTTCTTACTGCAACCAAGCCAGCTAATGAGGAACTGCACCAAGTGTTCCTATCATGGGTCACTACTCACCCTAGTTTATTTTACCCCTTAGGAGGGTGGAAGGGAGGATCATGTTTGCAAGTATAGGTCTATATAGTCGGCTCCAAAAGCTCTCTACCCTTCTGGCCCAGTATGCTGTGAGCATTATGTTCTGAGGCCTCAGGAGACCTTCCTGCTTTACTGGCTTGGGTTCTCCCTGCCTGCCCTGGGCACTAGCCCTTGGTGACATCCCAATAGACCATCTGTTGCAGGCAAGGAGTAACTCAATGCCTGGTTGGTTCCTGAGCCTAGCCATCTCCCTGCCTCCATTAACAAAGATGGTCTGCAGGACGTAGGGTCGTAGCACTGTGACAGACAACTGGAGTCTGACCTTTCAGCTACCCCAGGAGCAGTAGCTGGAGGAGGAAATGAGATGCTCAAACAAGTTGTTGCATGAAAGAATGGCCACCCTGGAATTGGCCCCCCCAGCAAGAATGAGGCATCACAGAAATGACAAGGATATCTACGTCTACGTCCTCCACGGCTGGCTCAACTCAGCAGAGAATGAGGCGGTATGGGGTAGTGTGAATGGGGTCAAGATGCCTCAGTCTTGCCCAGTTTGGAGCATGTTGGCTTCTTGAGGAGGAGCCTCTGGGTGACCAGGACAAGTTCCAAGTTCTCTGTCTCTGGAGCTGTCCTGCGGCTTGGCTTGAGCCCTGAGGGCAGGGCCTGTGTCAGAGGTGCTTCATGAGACAAGTGCACGTGGCAAGGGTTTCCTCCAGATTCTTATACATAAATCTCCTACAGCAAAGACCCTGGATGGGAAGGCCAGCTAGCCTTTCTGGTATTTCTTCTCTAAAGAAAAAGAAACCTCAGCACAGATGTCTGTCTGTGAACTTGTCCTGAGCTTATGTGGCACATGGACACAGAGACATCAATTAGCTGCTTGGCTACATTCTCTCTGCCTGTTGGGAGAGGCCTTCCACCAGGCTGGAGAGATTTGGAGAAGGGCCTTGCCAATACTGATGGAGAAGCAGGAGGCTCCAAGTTAGCTGTGAATGCCGTGCAGCCAGAGGCTCTTCATCAGCTTGTTAGTAAGAGCTGGTTCTGTAGTCCCACCCTCCCATGGAGATAGAGCTGACTAAGCGTTTATGCCCCTATTTCATCCCTTGGAAACCCCCTGACATTCTGAAGGAATATTCTAATCCAGGGAACAGAGGGTAATGCCAAGGAGCTTCCGTTCCTTGCCTTTGCTGTTCAGAACATTTGGTACCGAGATGTTTCTTAGCTGGCCATGCTCTTTCAAGGGCCATGGTGCTGCCATAGTGCATGTCAGTAGTGTCACAATTGTTCAGTGGACATACAAGCAGACATGCTGAGATTCTTCATTCTGAAGCAGATGAGATATAGTGCAAAGCCCTCTGAGTGAGGACACAGACACTGCAAGGCATCCCCTCTGTCCTCAGTCACTGCCACCACCTCTGACGTCCTAACTGTGTGCAGAAGAGGAGGATAGACAGAAGTTCATTGCAGGGATCTCTTATGAGTCTACCTTGCCCACAGCCCTGTGTCTGGGCAGGGCTCAGCCAAGTACAGCCTACTCTGAGTAAAACACATTTTAAGCTAGAGAGTGTTGATCAAAAACAAGAAGAGCAGAAAAATGAAACAAGAATAAGATATCCTGGATGCTAGACACAGTCAGGAGGCCATACTACCGTATCCGAGAGCCAGGGCCACTGGGGAGATCTGAAGTGCGTTGATAGAAGCTGAAGTCATGAGAGGTTGGAGGGGAGAAACAGCTTCGCCTGTCATGCCCTCCAGATTTTTGTGGGTGCCTCCTGTTAGCTGACTCCAGCTGGAAGTCAGCTTCCCTGGCAGCCTTGGAAGGCCCCCAAAGGGTCAGCATGCAGCTGAATGAAGGAGTGGAAGAGAAGGCAAGGAGCAGGTCTGAGGGCAGGCAGTCCATGCTGTGTGTGGCCTCTGTATGCTCTTGGTCATGTCCAAGCCTGGTGCCTATGTGCAATCCTGGGACCATAGTAAGAGAGACAAGGGGAGCTGCTCCCTTAGGTTTTTGTAAATTCTCTTTTGCTCTGCCCAGAAAGAGAAGTGCTTTTGAGAGGCAGAGGAGTCTTTGTTCTTCACCGTTGTCCCTGTTTTCCTCTGGGGGAATTCACCCATTTAGCAATCCACCTCAGCACCGCCTTCAGGAAAGCTATGTCCCAGTTTTCTGTGTGCCTCCTCTCTCTCTGCACCACATCTCTGGTTTCCCTTCCACAGAGCACTCACCAGAGCATGCCTCAGTGCTCACTCCAGCTGCCCAGGAGAGCTCTTTCCCGCGGTACCCGTGTGCACTGTCTGTCTGTGAGGAGATGCCATCTACTATCGGTTCGTATCGTGTTTCCAATAAATTTCTGGAAATCATGTCTTGCTTTATGCTGTCCTTCATTGGAATGGTGGTCAGCTATGAGGCTCTGCATACACAGTTTAACTCAAGTGCTCTCTGCCCCTGCCTACTTTTTAGGACCAGCCTTTCTCCTGGGCTGCATCAGCTGCCATTTTGTATGTCACATCTGAGGAGTTGGAAGTTTTGAGAAGCTATGTCATCACCCAGATAGATGGTCTTTGACACACACCCCCCTTCCATACCCCTAGGCCTGAAGGTGAGAGCAGCAACAGGCAGACCTTTCCCATTATCTGACCTCCAAGGCCATTTGTACACAACAGTGGCCAGTTCCCCATGACACTAGCTAGGGAGCCAAGGATGGTGTAGAGGGAGGCACTGTACCCCAACATGGTGCTTCCTGTCAGACACCCTTACTTGAGGTCTGCTGAGCTTTGTGAGAGTTTAGAAACCAGAAACAAAAAGATGATGAATTTCAAGAGTTCCCATAGAAAAGCAAGATACAGACCCAGGGATGTTACTGGAGAAGAGAAAATGTGATTAAGGTGTGTAAGGCTGTGTTAGTAGGTGTAGGGAAAGTGTGATCAAACAGCTGGATTTCGTATGGTCAGGGAAGGTTCTGTGGGAGCACAAGACCCCTATGATGGGTCCCAGGCAGGATTCCTAAGATGCTGTGTAGCTCCTGTGTCCTTCATCCCAACTCAGTGATCCTGCCATCTTTCTAGAAGCTCCTTTTAGCTCAATGTCAAGTAATACCTTCAGAGAGGATCACTAGCCTTGAATTTGGGGCCAGGGCTTTGTTTGTATGGCTTTCTAGAGGGGTTGAGCTATCTCTCACTTCCTAAACCTTCACTCCCTCCGCCTCCAAGCCAAGCCTTCTAAGAACTCCATCAGCTTTCTTCACTCAGCCCTAGACCTGCTGAGATAATAATGCCATTCCCCAGCCCAAGAAGAAGTCCTTTCACCTCTCAAGGGCAGACCCTCCTGCCACCCACAAGTAGTATCCACTCATTCACCGCCTTATGGTGTTGCTCCAACTGCCACTTATTAGCTCAGTGTTTTCATCAGTAAAATGGTACAATAGTGTTACATAGAGGACTAAAGAAATCAGTATGTGTAAGATGCTTAGTACTGGCACACTCAGTGTTTCCTGCCCATTTTTACTGCCCACCACAGTCATCTCTTCTCCCCCACTGTATTTAAATCTCTCCATTGCATCCATGAGACAACAGAACAGTCAAACCACCAAATCTCTCTCCTCTCCTTAGCTTTACCTCTCTTCTTTTACTGGCAAGAATTGTTTCCATTACTTCCAGTCGCATCAATTCTTCAACCCATTATGATGCTTGATGGTTCCCTTCTGCCTCTGCCCAGACACTTGCAGAAATCGCTGCCAATAAGGTCACTAATGACCTGCTAATTGCCAGATCGGCCCTGTTCTTTAGAGCCTGAAGCTGTAGTCACACACTGTTTTCCTTGTCTATACTCACCCCTTTGTAATTTCTTCAGAGCAAAGTTAAATAGCATTCAGGGTGGTTTGGTTTTGTTTTTGAGGCAGAGTCTCATTGTATATCCCAACCTGGCTTTGAACCCACACATCTGCCTCAGATTCCTGGGGTTGTAAATGTGCACAACCACACCTGGCACATTCAGATATTACTCAGGGTTTTCCTTTTTTCATATTTTTTTACAAGATAAGTTCAAATATTAATAGTTATCTGAGTAACTCTTTCAATGTCCATTTTCTCTATCACCCTAACATGTAATGTGAAACCATCAGTGCATATGTGTGAATCCAAACAATACCAAACATATTTTGTGTATTATTTTACACATATGATAACCTATCACCTCGTAAAAAGGTTGTGTGTTTGTTTGACAGTACTGGACAGTGTGTTGTTAGTCTAGGGTGTGGCCTGACCACACTTGTGGCTGAGCACTTTGCTTTCAGACTAGCCTTTTCAGAGCACTTTCAGACTAATCTTGCAGCATGCAATTAGGAAACACTTTGAAAACCCTCTCTTCTTGCCAGAGCACTGTGCAGACTGGGTATTTTATGTTTGGCCTTTTCCATCATGAAAGATGGCTTTATTCTATTCCTTTTAATGGGCATCTCTTTACTTGGGCAAAGAGATTGCCTTGACTTCTTTTAGATAGTCTTTATTTCTTTGCTAAGCCTTGGTTTTCTTCCTCCTTAAAAGTTTCTCTTCAGCATTTCCCCGGCTGTTCCTTTTGGTGCCTCCTCCTTGAAGGGACTTTTGGAGGACAGATTTTGGACTCCTTCCATGGCTCACCAAGCAACCATCACCTCAGCTCCCACTAACAGTGGAAGACTGAAATCCCCTCCAGCTCTCTAGGTGCTCCTTCCCATTTACCCAGAGACCCTCCACACCTCTGCACCAGACAACTCTGTCTTCTCCAAGCCCCTCCCACCACGTCCTGCGTCACCATCCACCTAGCACCACTCTTGCTTAGCTCAGCTCTGCTTCCCCAGCCTGCCCTCATTCTCTGTGGCTGCCTGGTACCAGGCCTGTGCTAGGAATATGGTCTCAGGCAGAGCAAGATTCTTGGCCTTCGTAGTTCAGTGTGGTCCATGTGATTGGAGGATGGGGTGTCAGTAAATACTCAATGAGAATTAGTTGGCTTGTGAGCCAGCCTGACCTGTACTGGAATCCCTGGAGGAAAGTAAAGGGTGCTATTGGATCTTGCTGGGGGCGGGGGAGAGCAGGTTGCATTAGGAGAAAGAATGAAAAGGTGGAAAACACTGAATTGTGCATTTGGAAATGAAAACTGTGCAGTTACGAAATGAGGGTCTCTATAGCTGTCTCCAGCTCACATTGTACTTGCACTACTCTACTAGCTCTAGACAACTTTGCATGTGAATACAGGTTGTTTTTTCTTTCTTTCTGATCTTCCTCCTACTGCACTAGACTGGCACATTTATGTCCATTTCCCATCCCTGCAGTTGGTAAGGGCAAGGTCATATCCTATTACATGGGTCAATAACCAAGTCCAAGAAGGGTGCAACAGACCAGGGCCAAGGTTAAAGTCAGGAAATCCTAATTCCATGTGTAGGGTGAGGGAAGGGGAGGGTGGAGAAGCAGTTGGAATTCCTGCTTCTGGGGACACCAGAGCCCTTCAGAGCAGCAAGGCCTTGTGAAGATGGGGTGGGGATGAGGAAGGGAAAGTAGCCCATGCTGGAGAGTGAGAAGAGGAACAGTGAGGCTCCAGAGCAAGTTAGAAGCCCAGGCCCCACCCCATCACCTACCCAGGGACTCCTGAGGGTGGCCCTGCTTCCTCTATGGGAGCTGGGAGCCATGAGAACATCTGGTATTTCAGTTGCATTCAGGGAGGGAGAGATAGCCATTGTGGAGAGGGGTTGAGAGAACCAGGTGGAAGTGTTATTGGAGGAAGGGTCCAGGAAGAGGAGACAGAGGAAAATGGCACATGGCCTCCTGCTGTGAGCCAGCAGGCACACAGGTAGAGGCTGCTAGATGAAAGGTACTTGGATGGGCCAACCTATGTTGGCAGTTGGTGGGCCTTTTTACAAAGCTTCTAACTTGAAAGTGCTTAATCTCAGACGAAAGTTGGCTGGCCCAGGTATGGCTCTCACCTTCTGTGGTGGCAGAGGCTCTACTAAGATAGAAATGGACACATTGAGAACCCAGGGAGGAAATGGGGGCTGTGGTAACAGTAGCCTCCGGATGACTGCCCAGGTACACAGCCTTCCCACTGCCTAGCTGGCCAGCTCTGTGTTCTCAGGATAGCTGTGGGTTTCTGGGGGAGCTGCTGGAGAGTTTTCAGAAAAGGGAAGTGGGTGGAGACACTGTGCAAATTGGTTTCAGAATTCACATAGCCTGGCCTCCCCCAGGCCTGCCTCCCCTGCCCACGGCATTTTCTCCATTTTCCACTCCACCATACATCCAGTCCTTAGGTTTTCTTTTCTAGAGGAAGCTTTGACTCCCAGCAGGGACCTGTTCAGTTCACATGCAGTCTCAGCCCTGCCAGGTGATGCTGTTTCCTCAAAGAAGTCCCAGGGTGAGCCCAGCCCCAACCCCCCATCACAGGCAAGGGGCGGGGGGTGGGGGGGAGAGGTGTTATCTCTGGCACAGTTAACAGCGGTACAGTGGTTAACTCTGACCATGGTGGGTATTTTGTGTTTTGTATATTTCCATTGTTTGTTTTTGTTTATTTATTTTTGTCAGTTATGGGCTTGAACTCACAGCCTGGGTGCTGTCTCTGAGCCTCTTTCTGTTCAAGGCTAGCACTCTACCACTTTGAGCCACAGCTCCACTTCCAGTTTTCTGGTGGTTAATTGGAGATAAACAGTCTCATATAGGACTTGTTGCCCTGGCTGGCTTCTAACCACAATCCTCAGATCTCAGCCTCCTGAGTAGCTAGGATTACAGGTACAAGCCACTGGTGCCCAGCTATCCATTCTCTCTCTCTCTCTCTCTCTCTCTCTCTCTCTCTCTCTCTCTCTCTCTCTCTTTCAGCCAATACTTGAACTTAGCCTTGTGCTCTCACTTGGCTTTTTTGCTCAAGGCTTGTACCCTACTACTTGAGCCACAGCTCTACTTTGGCTTTTTGCTAGTTAATTGGAGATTCTGCCCAGGCTGGCTTTGAACTGTGATCCTCAGATCTCAGCCTCCTGATTAAACTAGTGTTACAGGCATGAGCTACCAATGCCTGACTTTCTATGCTCTCTGTACTTAGCTGGTGCAAAGCATAGAAAGTGCTAACTACTAAGTACTTCTGTTACTGATAAACTTAACAGAAGTTACTTCTTTAAAGTTACATAAAACAAATAGGAACAGAAAAAGAGGCAGATAGATGCCTTTAGCCATGCACCTAGGACGAGACTTGAGTTCTGGATGGATCAGGGAACACAGGAATGCCTACCCCCAGGTCACCCCAGCACCCCCGACATAACACATCACAGGGCCAAAGGACCAGCTTCCTAGACAGCCTGTGTTTGGAGCCATGGGCGCTTGTTCATCAGAAAGCTTTTATTGAGTGCCTTCTTGATGACAAGCAGGTGCGCCTTGTGGGGGACTGAGCTGGATGGCATACCACCCGACAAATGACATGAGCCTATGCCTGTTAGAGAAGGGAGACTACTGGCTCCCCTGGAGCCTGGTATGGGGTACACTAAGGTGCTCAGTCACTATACAGAGCAACAGTGGGACTGGGAGAGTTGTTTGACAAGGAGCAACCTGCCATGGCCGCTTTGGTCTCACAGCAAGATGATCACCCCAGGGGCCTTTTGCGGGCAGGGTCCTGAGTCACAGACAGGGCCACAGAGCCTGGTGCTCGCTCCCAAACATATCTGTGGAGACACAGGTGGGGAGGGGCAGGCAAGGAGGGACCCTGAGGAGTCCAGGGAAAGAAGGGCAGTCCCCCAACTGGGAGAAGTCCTCCCATGTACTTACGAGCTCCTCTCTGGCACCAGGAGACTGTCATCAGGACCCATCTGAAGGTGCTGTCCCCCCAGAGTCACCACCGAGGAGCCCTCCTGGGAAAGGAAAGCAGGAGAATTAAGTGGAGGGTGCCCAGCCCCCACACCTGCCTGCTTGTCCTTGAGTCCACCTCGCATGGAAGCCCGCGAGCAGTCAGATCCCCCTGGGCAGGAGGTAGTGCCACCCTTTCTCCAGGCCCCACTTGCCAGCTGCCACAGCCACATGTCCACATCCTGTTCCAGGCCTTGGCTGCTGCCTTGCCCATGGGCGATTACCTGTTGGGAGAAGAAACAACTCCCAGTGTCCCCGCATTGCTCATAAGCCCACATAAGCTCTGGGTGTCCCCGGAATGGAGAAGCAGGTCAAGCTTCTACCCAGTTAGCCTCCCTCCCTGGCTCACTAGTTCTAGGCCAGCAGCAAGTCATAAAGCACAAGGGAATACTAGCCTCCTGCAGGCCTCTGCTCCCCTGCCCTGTCCCCTCGATGTGCAGGGAGACTTTCAGAAACACCACGCTACCTCTCATGCAGCACTCTAGGATAGGTGCTTCCACTCAGCCCTGTTCGGCCAACCCCCACCAGCACCAGGCCCAGCTGGCTGCTGCTCAGTCACTAGCCGCACCTTCCGCACCAACCTCAGCTGCAGGATGTGGCAGGCTGTCTCAAATCTCCACACCTCCAACTCTTCTTGTCTCTTCTCCCTCGCCTCACATGTTCTAGCTCCCTTTCTTCCTTTTGCAACCCCCTGTACTAGCTTTAAAATTCTCCTTCACATCCCCTCCTTCAGGAAGCCTTCCTTGACTTCCCTCCCTGCTAGGTATCCTCTGTGATCCTCCTGTGGCTTTCTGCAGCTTGTTAGCAAATAACATATCGCATGACTCTGACAATTGTGGATTAACTTGTCTGCCTCCTTGGCCAGACCATCCATTCTGGGAGACAGATTGTCCTGCTCCTGCCAAAGTCTGAGACAATGAGCAGTCAAATGTTGAGTGAAAGGTCAGCTTGTTCCAGTCTCTCCACAATGCCATCTAACCCCCTCCTCAAAACGCTGCCTTCCTTTCCAGCTTCCAGGATGCAACCAGAAGCTCAAGGGTTTCTAGTGAGGGGTAAATGACAGAAACAGGGAGAGCTGCCAGTGATGGGTGTCTTGCTATTCTGAGAGCAAAGAAAGATTGCTTGGGACCATGAATCCTCCACAGACGTCTGGTCACAGTGAAACCATTGTCCTCTGAAGTGGGGAGGGGACAGGAAGGCCTATGCTCATGTGCACACCTCTGATAAGTGTGTGTGATATGAAATCAGTTCCCGATTCTCATGATTGATTGGTGGACACCCTGGGCAGTCCAGGGCTACATTACCTGTGTCTCATAGTTGTCCCCAAACAGGCTAAGAGATGTGCCTGCCTGAAGCTGCTGGTGGTGGACATCCAGCCAGGCCTTCAACGACATGGGCTTCATGATGGATCGTGTGCTCAGTGGGAACGGTGGCTCCTTTAGCAGCTGGTCTGTGCTTGCAGTATGGCTATGGTCAGTGTTCCCCAGGCTCAGTCCAGCCAGCCCCAGCAACCCCAGAATCCAGGGACCCCAACTCCCAATAGCAGGATGGACTCCAGGTCTAGCTGGATGGCCCGTCATGTGGGGTGATGGTTGGTACCAACTTCCCTGTACCTTGAGTACTGGGCAGAGTACTCAGGATTCCATCCCACTGTGGGATGAGAGGGCAGGAGGGAAAGAAGGAAGGAGGGAGAGGGAAGGGTGGCTCACCAGGGATGGGCTTTCCTGTTCTATACTGCTCAGAGCTGAAGAATCTGCAGGGACAGCCGGGGAGAAGAAAAATGGTGGCACTGCCACTGAGGCCAGTAGATATACACACTGGACACTGGCGGGTGCAGAGTCCCCACACACTTGTGGGGCCCTCGCACAGCCTGTCTGTCCATCACTCTTTCCCTCACCACCCTGTGGATCAGCCCCTGTGCCTTCATCCGAGGGGACCCTTTCTCCTAATTCCCAGGTGTGATGGATCGAGGCCAGCAGGTGCTGATGTGGAGTCCCAGGACAGCAAAGGGCAGGCCCAGGGTGGGGGCTCACTCTTGGATGATGGGGGCCAACTGTGTGCCGAGGTTTGAACAGTAGAACCACTTCTCAAACAGGACATCCACGGTGTCCCCCACGTAGTACCTGCCAAGTCAAAGGTCAAGGGATTCCAGATCCCTATATAAACAGCAAGACAGGCTTAGAGAGCATCTAATCCAAGTGTGTTCATTTTTCCCAAAAGGAAGCTGAGGCTGAACCTGAAGCCAGGGTCAGCCGCTAAGTGCTCTGCCTGCCTAGGGAGCTGTGTCACAGAAACATCAGTGGTCAGCTGAGGACACACAGGTCCATCATAGGGGATCTATAGTTGTTATAGCAGTAGTCATGGCTGCTTTGGTGAGCTAGAAGAAAGCTCTAGATTTCTTCTCCAGAGCAGACCCCTGTGCACGCATGCACAGCCTTCAGTACCCCCCTGCAGACACCCAAGACCCTGCCTGGGCAGTAAGCCTTGCCACTGGCTTGAAGGAGCCTGGCAGGCAGGGCTGAGCCTCAGATCCCTGTGCGTGAAGCACAAGGCAGATGCCAGAAGCAGCTGTCACCCAAACATCTAGTCCCCTAGCCCAGCTCTGGGCCAGGCCAGCTCTGTCTGCTCTTCAACGCCTACTGAAACAGAGGAGTACAGTGCTGAGGGCATGGGTTTACAGACATCCAGTGCACCTCCCCACCCAGCACTTGAATTCCTGCCCTGGGATGAAGCTGGCCATCAGAAAGCTTCATAACAGGACTTCAGTGTCCTCTAGGAATCGCCTTTGGAGTGGCATTTTAATGTTGAGTCCCTGGTTTTTATTAAAGGTCAAAAGCAGCCAGATGAAATCCCTTATTGAATTTGCTGTAAAATGTTATTGAGGATACCCATAACTCACTTAAGACTCCTCTATAAATACCCCCTGGAGAAGCTCCTTTTAGAATTTAAAGTCAGATATGCCTGTACAATATACCATAGGCAGCCATTAGCATTGTGATTTTGAAAAGATTTAATAGTCTGAGAAATACTTATGAGGTTTTGGAGGAAGCAAAGCAGAACGGAAACCCACTCATGCAATACACTCGGGGTTGTCAGGTTCAGTATGCATAGCGGCCAGGAAGATAGAAATCTAAGTTCTGCTTGAGGTTTTCCTGAGGGGAGGAGTTGCCAAAAAAACATTGTCCCCTTTTTATTATTGTTTACTTTCTTGAAAGGAATAAGACAATTAAATTCATGTACCATAAAATGCACCATTTTAGTGGCAGGTAATTTTTTTTGTACTGGGACTTGAACTCAGGGACTTGGACTCTTGTTTTTTCCACTCAACTGGTGCTCTATCATTTTAGCCATGCCTCTACTTAGTTTTGTTTTGTTTTTTTTTTAAACTGGTTATTTGGAGATAAAGAGTCTCACAGATTTGTCTGCCAGGGCTGGCTCCAAACTGTAATCCTCAGATCCCAGCTTCCTGAGTAACTAAGTTTATAGGTACAAGCCACTGGAGCCCAGTCTGAATATTTTTAAAATTTGTTCATTTTGCATTCTTGCATGTTTCTAGATTTTGAGAGAAATATATAAGACTTTGGTTAAAAAAATTAAAAAAAGTATTTCAAAATGTCCAGTATAAGCTGGACATGTTTGTATATGCCTCCTGTAATCCCAGCAATTGGAAGACTAAGGCTTGGACTACAGAGCAAGATTCTGTCTGAGTCACGAAACCAAACCAAACCAAACCAAAGCCAGTAAAGATGTGGGCCAGAGAGTTCTTACTCCAAAAGCTTGGGGAGAAATTTAAATTTCCTTACTTTAAAAAATAAATTCAAAGTGCAATTTAGGTCTTCAGGAAAATCTTTGGTCTGACTTTCAAGGGACATTCAGAGGTTAACTATCCAGCAGCTGGTCAGACCCAAAAGGAAGTGGGAGGTGGACTCAGTGTCCCTGGCTCAGCTTGTTCTTCTGTGTGGTGGTGCTGACACCCACTCGACTCAGCTGTCCTGACCCTGACTTTATTTCTCTAGAATGCTGGATCTAGCCAGCAGTTAAGCCCCAGCATAATAATGACCTTCCCCACACCCAGTTTCTCCTTGGGTAAAGTAGGGCTGGGAACAACAGCTATACCAAGCATCAGCAGCAATATCACTGAATAAATACACACGGAGTCCCTGCCTGGGGCCCAGCCTGGAGCCTGTGCTATCCAGGTGCTCCAGCTTGTGGACTGACCTGGGGTAGAGACTACACCCTGAAGGCGCAAGGCTGCTCAGGGCAGAAGTGTTTGGGCTGTCCTGGGATCCCTCTCAACTCCCCTCCTTTCCCTTCTGCTTCCCTCCCCTCCAGCCAGAAGGCCCAGCTGGACAGGTTCTCAAGCAGCCAGAGAGAATCCTCTTTCCCCTTCCCTCCACACATCATTGAACCCATTCCACCCTGCACTGTCAGCAAATCCAGCATCTCTATCACCTCCTACTGTCAAGCCCTGAACTCACTTGCTGGCCAGGAAGTGCTGCAGTTTGAGTTGTAGCCCTCTGCTGCTAGCCCTCTGTCTACCCTAGCCTTCTTGGACAGGAATGTAAGTTTACCTGAGCCCATCAAGCTCGGATCCCAGCCGCCTCCGCTCAATCACCAGCCCCATGGTGTTGGCAAACCTCTGCGGGGAGTGAGGCACCCTGGCAGGCAGGAGGAATATCTGCAGGGGTGGAGACCAAATGCCCAGCAAGTCTGTGATCCTTCCTAGAGCTCTCAGTGCCCTCCACAGAGTTCCTGTCCATGCTGGCCCCATTCTTTGCTCAGAATCTACCCAGACAGCCAAAGGGAACAATGTGGGCTGTGCTCAGGATAGAGCAAGGAGGAAGGATGGGGCAGGGACAGATCAGGCAGGGAAGAGGACAGGATGAGTGGCCAGAGCCCTTTGTCTCCCTGCCCTTCAGGGTCTACCTTACCTCTCCCTGCCGAATGGTCACATCCCGATGTTTCCCTTGCTCCAGGACCCGGAGAACCATATCTCCCTCCAGTTGGTAAAATACCTGCAGAATAATGAAGAAGCTGGCTCCCTCTTCCTGGTGCTTGGCTAGTGCTCAGGCCTGAGTTCTAACCAGGCAAGCAGAACTTTCCCTTGGAGTTAATTATGAACAACGCCATCACTCCTGCCCTGACTAATATCTCTTGGCCCAGGTCACCCAGATAGATCACAGACAGTAAGGCTGGGAACACAAAGAAATAAAGCCTCAAGCACAGAGGCCGGGATCAGGGCATGCAGGATGCAAAGGCACGCACCTGGCCAGCAGGTAGGAGTCTGGGTGAGAGGCTGGCTGGAGAATTCAGGGGCAGTCAGCTAAGAACCCACCATTCATTGTGGGCCAGGGCACTTCCCATACACACTGATAGAAATCTTTACAACTACCCCCAAAGGCATCATTAGCTCTGTTCTGCAGAACAGAAAAAGAACTTTGGAGGCTCAGAGCTGTGTGTGGCTCTGGGTTAGCTCCTCTGGCTTGTGAGAAGCCCTGACAGGGGGTTTGTGGAAGTGGAAGCCTGGGGCTGGGCAGGGGCAGTGCTCTCTCCAGGGGCTGCTTGCATTTTTCCAAGTCCATCCCGAGCCTCAATATGTTTATTTCTCTCCAATGGTAACGTATTGCATGGGTGTTAAAAGCCCCAGCCAAGCCAAGCATAGCAGTTATACACTTGTCATTTCAGCACTCAGGAAGCAGGGCAGAAGGATTACAAGTTCAAGGCCAGCATGATACCTTTTAGAGAGATCTTGTCTAGCTATAAACATCAGAGGTTGTAGAAATCACAAAATAATATTTATAACAATAGTAGAAGTAGTATAAATATCTGAAGGTAGATTAGAAGTATAGACATTTGTAGCTAAGAAAACTATGGAATATTTTCCCCCATACCAGTATTAAAGCTTGAACTCTCACCCTCACTTGGCATTTTCACTCAAGGCTGACTTTTTCACTTGAGACATACCTCCTCTCCTGGCTTTTTGTGTGCTAGTTAATTGGAGACTTTCCTGCCCTGGCTAGTTTCAAACCATGATCCTCAGATCTGAACTTCCAGAGCAGCTTGGATTACAGGCCTGAGCCATCAGTTCCCAGCTTAGAACAATGTCTTTCAATAACAATAAAAATGGCTGAATGAGCCGGGCTTTGGTGGCTCATGCCAATAATCCTAGCTACTCAGGAGACTGAGATTTTAGGATTGTAGTTTGAAGCCAGCCTGGGTAGGAAAGTCTTATCTCCAATAAACTACTCAGTAAAGGCCAGAAGTGTCTCAGTGGTTCAAGTGGTAGAACACTAGCCTTGAGCAAAAAGCTCAGGGACAGCGTCCAGGCCTAGAATTCAAGGCCCAAGACAGGCCAAAAATAATGCCAGAATGAACAATACTAAAGTTATGATATTTTGGCTGAACATGTGGGTCAAGTGGTTGAGTACTTGCCTAGCAAGCTTGAAGCCATATCTCAAAGTTACAATGTTAAGAAAACATTCAAAACTATGTCCATTGGGATTCTATTCCAATGGCATTCATTCTAATACATACATATATATACACATACACACACACACACACACACACACACACACACACACACACACACACACACACACACACATATATCACAACCATTAGTGCTTATGGGGTTTCCTGAGCAGAAGGATTATGGACAAGGTAAGCATTTTTCTTTCTATGTCTCACATTTCCTACAATGAACAGTAGTTACTTTCATTATTTAAAAAAAAAAACAAACCTGTAGGACTAAAAGTGTAGTTCAATGGTAGGTGCCTGCCTGAAGACTTGAGTTGGATTTCTAGCCCGGGAGACAAAACAAACAACCCATAAACATTACTTAACACAAACAAGTAGTGCTTATGAATTGTTCCTTATAGAGAAGAATTCAGCACATCTCTCCCCACCCCTGCCTCAACTCAAGCTGTAAGAAAAACCTGTGTGTTTGTGTGTGTGTGTGTGTGTGTGTGTGTGTGTGTGTTGTGTGTAGGGGGAGTGGAGCGCTTTTCCTATGTATCTTAGGTCTTTTCATAGTACAGGAGGGAAGGAAGGATCACTGAATTCTAGGGGAGGGGGCTGTAGCCCTCCATACATCAGGGAAAGTTAGGAGAAGAAGTCTGGAGTGAAGTCTGAGCCAGGTACAAGGTGTTAGCCATTGCAAAAACACGTAAGTACTTTTCCTGTATTGTCCCCTCTCCGGTAACTTCCCTGTGAGCAGACAGCTCACAGAGAGCAGAAAATCCTGAACAGCCAGGAGCAATCCAAAAGGAATTATTCTCACTAGGAAGCAAATGATGTTTGGGACCTGGGGCCAGCTGAAAGATTAAGTGTACCGGCTCAGGGAGATATTAAATTGAGTTCAGCTTCCATGACCTGGAAAGCCCTCACAGGCAAGGTGAGCTGGAGAGAGATGAGGTGCAGAGAACCTACACCTGTTAAGCATCTGCTCCGTACAATTGAATCCTTCCAGGGCCATCATCCCTGTGCTGTAAGGCTTAGAGAAGACACTAGACAAAGGCTCACCTGCCTCCCAGCTGGGCTCCCTCACACCCACCTGCCCCCAGGGGAAGGAATGGGGGAAGTAGAGACTCAGTAGTGGGTGGTATTGAGTACAGTTGAGCTCAAACTAGGAGAAAATAATGGCTCAGTCAGTAGAGATGTGAATCAAACCTGGGTCTGAGGAACTGGCGTAGGTGCTAGCTGGCTAACAACAGGCAGGGAGAGAATGCTGAACATCTGTCCTGAGGCCACTCAGGCTGATACCAAACCCTGCCCTCAGAACCAAGGGGTAGGGACAAGCTTTCACAAACCCACGTCCAGCCAGACTCCTCAGCTGCCGAGTGTCCCTCTGGAGTGACAAGCCAAACTGAGCCCACGCAAGGGCTGGCCTGGCCCTCATGGACACCCATCCACCTTTGAAGGTGGGCATGGGGCAGCAGGGGTAGGGGTAAGAGGGAAAGGAAGGAGAGAGGCTAGGGGGCAAAAGGGGAAGACGCCAACATCAGGCCTGACTGAGGTGAGCTGGACAGCCCCATTGTGCCTCCCTCACATGGCCAGTCAGATCTGACTCCATCTCTTTGCTGTCGTTTTGGATTTTCTTGGCAATTTTTCCACAAAGGAAAACAGTCTCAGGGAGGTGTGTTGGGAGAGGGGCAGAGCCTGTGAAGGTAGATGGAGCAAGGGGTGGGGTTGGCAATCTGCTCAGTCAAGGCTTCCTGGGGCCCGCCTGCGGCTCCATGGCCCCCTCTGCTGGCTGGTAGAGGCTCTCAGCCCACATACTAGGGAGTGCCGGGGAAGGCTCGCTGCCTGACATTCTCCAGGGCTGACAGCAGCCTGCAGCTGCGGGGCTGTGCCAGCAGTGAGGGTGGAGGCTGGGGACTGCAGTGGGTTTTGTACCTCAAACTCTAGCATCAGGACGCCTTCCAGAGGATGGGAGCTCCAGACTGGTCCTTCTCTAGAGACTAGAGAAGGCACCTGCCCATGTCTCTTAATCCTTCCCTCTTAAATTTTGCTTCTGCTTGTGTACTTGGATTAGGTAGTAGAGAAGCCTAGTTCAAAATTAAAGTACAAAAGAGTAGTCAGTGTCCTTTCCCCCGGCCACACAAGCCGTAGCTACTGATGTGTCTTACATCCCTCCCAAATGGCCACGCCTCAGATACTGACTCCTCATACCCCTTCCCCACGGCTCTCCCGCCCACCCACCACCTTCCTTCCCAGCCCCTCATCACTGGGCATTGCTGAGCTTGGCTCCTATCTGTAGGAGGGAAAGATGGCTCCTTGCATCAGAAAGGGAGACCTAGGATCCCTCAGCACTTGGGGCTTGTTTTGGAAGCCAGTTGTGTGCATTCAGCTTTGTTGGGGGGAGGGGGAGGATTAGGGTCTCAGCCCTGGAACAGGAAGAACCTTCTGTCCCCCAGACAGATGCACCACAGGAAGAGATCGTCACTCCCAGGGGCTCCCCCAAACTTCCCTGGCTCAGCTCTGAGCATGGGGCTGTCAAAGAGGTCCCTGCAGGCTCCCCCACCCCCAACCTTAAGGCAGCAGCCTTCCATCCCCAAGCAGGCATAGGTCCCCTCTCCAGTCCACATGCTCTGGCCTGGCTCAGGAAGTGCCTGCTCCCCCAGGAGGGGGATCCTCTGAGGTGGGGTGATCAAAGCCTACCTCCTCACCCTCCTCGATGTGATAATCCTTCCTGATGTTGGGGCCCCCGACAAACATGATCTTGAGCTGCTCCTGGTGCCTGTAATAGAGGAAAATGAAGGCAAACTGCATCAGCTGCTGAGAGGGAGGAGGGACCCTAGGGGTTCTTATAGGGGCTTGGTGCACCTGAGAGAAAAGCAGGCCCCTGTTCCTTCGCTCGGCCCTAGTTTGCCATGTACATCTAAGTGTCTGTGTGTCACGGTTGTGTGTGAGCCTCTGTGTGTCTGCCTATATCCTCTGACCAGTAGCAGAACAGCGTTGCCATGGAGGCACTATTCATCACTGTATTCAAGTTCTCTAGCTAGTGAATGGGAGCCCCTCAAGCTGTCTAATTAGAAGACCCCTTAATGGTTGGAGATATAGATCAAGGAATGTGAGGTGTAAGTTGAGAACATGTGCAAAGGGTTTTTTTGAGACAGGGTAGTTTCTTTCCTGTTTCTTAAATTATATTTTTGTTATCTTTAAGTAGTTGTACCAAGGGATTACCATTCAACAAATCAATTAATAAGCACAATGCATCTTGCTTTCTATCGCCCCTTTCACCTATCCCTCCTGTCCCTCAATTGTCTTAGTTCCAGAAGATGTGTATTGCATATTATGACTGCATTTTCCCCTCCCCCCTCTTCACTGGTAGAGACAGGGTCTCGTTATGTAGCTAGGCTGACCTCAAACTCACAATCCTCCTACTTCAGCCTCCTAAGTGGTAGGATTATAAATGTATGCCCTGCAGTCCATACGGAATGCTCTTGAACAAGTTCACTGGAGAATTATTCATTTTCACCAGTCAGAATGCTTAAACTAGCTCATGTATCTCCTGGACTCAGAACCCTCCAGCAACTTTCTGTTTCTCTCTGGATGTGTCACAGGTCATGCTGACTGGGCTTACTAGTGGGCCTGCCTTTGCCTCCATCCCTGGTTTGTTCAGATTTATTAGGTGCCCTTTCTCAGCTGAATTTCAGCTCCACAAGAAAAGGGCATTTTCCTCCACTTGTTTTCTGCTGTATCCAATGTCCAGATCACCTGGCAGATAGCAGGTGCCCAGCAAACACCTGCTGAGTAAGATGAGGACGCATATTTGTGGTCATTAATACCAGGGCAGCACTGCAGGGCTAGCTAGGGGTCTGGAGGCAGGGCAGCCCAGGGCTGCAAGTGAGCAGGATAGAATACAAGAAGCAGCCATGAGCCATAAGGAGAAATAGGAAAAGTGAGAATGAGAGACAAGATGGGGATGAAGTTGGGGAGTGGGTAGAGGCAAAGACAATCATGAAGCTGGGTTTTGGCAGTGGTAGAAGAGATGAGCTGGAAGCCTCACCTCACCTTTAGTCAGGTAGTATTATGCAGTGGCTAAAATTGTGCATGGACCTTGGGGTCAGATTCCCATGGGTTTGCTTCCTCCTCGCCTCCCCAGCCCCTCAGTAACTCTGTGACATTGGAAAAGTTATTTATTAAATCCCATCTTCCTGGGCTGCTGTGCGAAGTCAAAGCAGTGACACCAAGGCCCTTGGCAGCATCTCTGCCTGTTTAACTATTAATGACCAGGGCTGTCTGGATGCCACCCCACCGGAGATGACTTGCAGGAGCACAAATGTGGGGAAGGCCTGGATCTGGGGACACATGAGGTCCAACCATGGAGCTGAGGGAAGGGGAGGGAAGCCATAGTGGACAGGTCTGCTCTGTGTGCTGCAGGCAGTAGCCTAGGAGGGATGGCGTGTGTGTGTGTGTGTGTGTGTGTGTGTGTGTGTGTGTGTATAGGCAAAAAGGGGCTGTGGGAATGGCAATAAATCAAGGAGGGATGGTGTGTGTGTGTGTGTGTGTGTGTGTGTGTGTGTGTGTGTACAGGCAAAAAGGGGCTGTGGGAATGGCAATAAATCAAGATTGCCCCATGCTCAGCTCCCATGCTTTGTCAAGTTTGGGTGATGTGCTTCAGTGGGCCAGACCTATGTATGATTCTGGGGCATCCATAACCACACTCCCTACATTTTTAACTTTTCCCAAAGTGCACGGGAACCACGGGAGGCTGGAGAACAGAGTCCCAGTCCTGGGCGGAGGGGTGCGCCCTGCCACCCCACAGCTCCCAAGGCAGAGACACCAGAAAGAGGAAGCAAGGGAGGAGGCGGTGGAACTCAAACTGCGTATCCCCCCCCCCACCTCCCCACTGGCCTCCCAAGGCGCCCCAAAACCAACAGCCCACCCCCGCCCACCCCCACCCTCCCCCTTGCAGGCACCTCCCAGTGGAGCTGATGGAGAAGGAGGAGGGAGGACGGAGGCCCCTGCTGGGACTCACATGAGCTTGTTGCAGACCGGGGGCTGGAAGGAAGCCCGGTTCTCTTCCACCCAGCTCTTCACTCGCACGCAGCGCTCCATGGCCACAGCTCCCGGGGGCGACCCAGGTCCTTCCGACCTGGTCTCAGCGACAACTCTGCCGGGAGGCCTTGTAGTTCCTGCACCCCAGAGGTCAAAGGGAGGAGCAATCTCTAGTGTCCCCGTGGTGCCCCTCAGCCAACTGCCCTGAGCGCCGCCCTTTGCCCTTGCCCTGTGGAGAGTAGCTGGGGGGAGGGGGGCGCGCAGGCTGGAGCCCTCCCCCCCCTCCAGTTTCTCCACAGGGGGGTGATCAGCCCCCCAGCTTCTCTTCCCAACCCTGCCTAGGTCCTGGGGGTGCCCCCACCCGCGCGGAAGCAGGGAGCCTGCTGCTGGAACCCAGACTTTCCAGCCTGGCCCAGGAGGTCCCCGGAGAGGTCTCCAAAACCAACCAACCAATGCAAAACTGCAAGGCGACGAAGCCTGCCGGTGGTTGCAAGTCCTAGAGTCTGAGCACAGGATGTTAACACCGGCTTTTAGGGCTCGGTTTGCTCATCCGGAAAATGGGAAGCAACGCGCAGCCACCGAGGCCTGTGCGCCTGGGAGGGAGGGCGGTCCCGCGGCCACGCGGGGGCCCCCCGAGGCCCGGGGGGATGCCAGCACCCCGTGTCCGCACCAGGACCCCAGGGGGTGTCACTTGGCTGGCTCAGGAAGCTGAGATCCAGGGGACCGCGGTTCGGAGCCAGGCCAGCCAGAAACTCCATCTCCAAACAAGCCCTCCTCCTCAACCCCGCGCCTCACTGCTGCAACTCCCAGAGTTCGAGCCCCGCCAGGCAGGTGCTGAGCTACATGGCTAGCCCTTTCTGTGTCTCAGAGGTCCTACCCCTCGAGGGCGCGGGGTGCTGGGCGTGGAGTGGACTGGCGCTGGAAGAGGTGGTCAGCTTTGTCCTTGGCACACACCTGCGCCTGCGCAGGGGGAGAGAAGGCGCCACCGCCCCACGCATCTGAGAAGGGTGGCGTGGGGAAGTGAGAGGCGAGGAGAAGGAAGATGACTCCTGCCTCTGACCTCAGACTGCGGCCGGCAGAACTGAAATGGCAGCCCCTCTGGGCCCCTGCGCGCACCCGCCGCGCCCCTGCCCTGCACCTGGCCTGCGGCCTGCCTGGCTTCGCGGCTGCTTTCCTTGCTTTTCAGACATAAAGACTCCCTCGGTGCTAGTGAAAGCCAGACAGAGAAGAAGCAGGAGTCCCACCCACCCGACTGGCCCCACGGCCCCCTCTCCCTCCTCTTTTAGTTATTTATTTAGTACATTTTAGCCGCATGCTTATTTCTAGAATATTGCTTGGTATCCAAAGAATCCAAACCGCCTTCTTTATTTTTCTCATCTACAAGTGATCGGAGGAGATATCACTAGGCACCTCTGATTGAGTGATGTTTGCTTTGGGTGTCTGTAAAATGGAGGGGTGGGAGGGCATGGGGTGAGGAAGGACTAAATGAATTCACACAAAGGGGAAAGGGAAAAAAAATCTTTCAAACCAATAGACGTTCTGTTACATGGTACAAAGGAAAGAATGATAGTTACCCTGTGCTTTAATTAAAGTCCTCATACAACGTGAAGAATTGAGGCCACAAGTAGAATCTTGGGGGTCTAAATTATCTACATTAATCCTAAACACAGGCTAACCTACTGCAGTGTAGTCACTGTCAAATACGCCCTCTGGTTGGTGCTTTGCAAATAAAACACCATGTCTAGTTGTTGGCTTAGTTGGCAAGCTTCCTAGCTCTGATTTTGGCCACTATCTGACTTAAGTGTCAGAAAACTGACAGTTCCCCTTTTATCCAAATACTCTGGCGTTGATTAGTCCCAGCCATCTGGAATCTTTCTAGACACTGACCGTTGGTCTCTTGGAGTTTCTGGACCTAACCTGCTCCCAGAAGCCACCTCTCTCCTCATAAGAGCTCACTGCAGAATCCAAAACAACAGAGCAAACAGCATCGATCTTGGGATCAGAGCCCACCAGGCTGTTGCTTGCTTGCTGGGCTCTTGCTTGGCATCACCCTTGGTGCAGCTGCCCAGCTTGTGGAAACAAAAAGATGCTTCTATGTTCTGATGAACATAACTGGTGGTAACTGTCTGATCCTTCAGTCCTTTGATAGATTGAGCTAGTTTACTCTGATCCATCCCTTTCCCAGACTACCTCAGTCTGACTCTGTCTCCCCACCCCGCCCCCCTTTTTTTATTTGCCAGTCCTGGGGCTTGAACTCAGAGCTTGGACACTGTCCCTGAGCTTCTATTGCTCCAGGTTAGCGCTCTACCACTTGAGCCATAATGCCACTTGCAGCTTTTTCTGTGTATGTGGTTCTGAGAAATCGAACTCAGAGCTTCATGCATGCCAGGCAAGCATTCTACCACTAAGCCACATTCCCAGCCCTCCCTTCCCTATTTTTTATCTAGCTCAGCATATATTTGAAAACAAATGCTCTATATGAACAAAAGTACTTGGTCTGCCAGGCACTGGCAGCTCACACGGTAATCCTAGCTACTCAGGAAGCTGAGATTGAGTATTCAGGTTCAAAGTCAGCCTGGGTAGACAAATCCAAAGACTCTTTAAAAAATTTTTTTTAAATTTTATTTCATTTAAGGGTGATGTCAGAAGGGTTATAGTTATCTAAGTAAGGTGATGAGTATATTCCTCATTGAACATTGTTAACCCTGCCCTTGTTTCCTCCCACCTTCTCACCACCCCCCCTTACTCTCCTTTTCCCCAAGTTGTAAAATTCATTTCCAACATAGTGTCTTGTGAATATCACTGTTGCAAAAATATGGAACACTTCACCAATTTGCATATCATCCTTGCACAGGGCCATGCTAATCTTCTCTTTATAATTCCAATTTTAGTATATGTGCTGCCGAAGCGACACCCAAAGACTCTTATCTCCAATTAACCAGCAAAATGCTGGAAGTGGAAGCGTGGTTTAAGTTGCAAAGTGCCAGCTTTGAGCAAAAAAGAAATGCAGAATCTCAAGGCTCTGAATTCAAACCCCAGTACTGGAACAAGTAAGCAAATACCACCAACAACAAAAGAGGGGGGACTCAATTATAATGCATTCTGTTGAATAGGAAAAAAACAACCAATTCAACTTCTCTTTCTGTAATCTCACAACACAGATGACTTAATGTGGAGATCACAACACTTTCCTCTACTGGTTTGCTAGAAAGGATTTAAAAAAAAAAATTTATGTTTTTGTGCTGCTCCTGGGGCTTGAACTCAGAGTCTGAGTGCTATCCTTGGGCTTTTTGTTGTTGTTGTTGTTGTTGTTGGTCATGGGGCTTGAACTCTGGGCCTGATCATTGTCCCTCAGCTCTTCAGCTCAAAGCAAGTGCTCTTCCACTTGAGCCACAGTACCACTTCCGGTTTTCTGGTGGTTTATTGGAGATAAGAATCTCATAGACTTTCCTGCCCCAGCTGGCTTTGAATTGATATCCTCAGATCTCAGCCTCCTGAGTAGCTAGGATAACAGGCGTGAGCCACCAGTGCCCGGCTTGTTCCTGGGCTTTTATGCTAAAGGCTACTGCTCTACCACTTGAGCAACAGTTCCACTTCTGGCTCTGTGTGTGTGTGTGTGTGTGTGTGTGTGTGTGTGTGTGTGTGTGTGAATGTGTGCATGCGCGCATGCGTCCATGTGCATGTGGGGTTCTTTTCTTGCCTAGGTTGGCTTTGAATCATGATCCTTAGATCTCAACCGCCTGAGTAGTTAGGATTACAAGGTATAAGCCACAAGTGCCTGGCTGGAAAGAATATTCTAAAGGATACAAACAAGCAAGCAGATGGAAAGACACACAGAATGAGGTGAGAAAGGCCCTGAGCCTCAGAGCTTTTGTCAGGGTGGAACTGAGGTGTCCACTCTCCTAGAATGTGAAGGAGTTCTTCCGCACTTTCCTACAAGCCCCCGCATCTCCAGCACCCTGTCTTTGGGGTTTCTATGGAGACTTCATTGCATATGCAAGACTGAAGCATGGAAAGCGAAGCAGAAATGACTGGACAGAAAGATTTGGTCTAAGACTTTTCTGCCTAGACTGGTTCCAAATCAAGATCCTCCAGATTTCAGCCTCCTGAGCCACCAGTATCCTATTAAGTTTTGTAAAAGTATTATCTGCTTCTATTGAAATTCTACACATTTCTATTATGCAAATATATATGCTAAGAAATAAGGACCATGTAGTGGCTCATGCCTGTGAGCCCAACTATTTGGGAGGTGAATGGAAAGCAGGGGGATCTCAGTTCTAGACCTGCCTAGACCAAAAAACAAAACAAAACTGGGTGCAGTGGCAAGCCTATCATCCCAGCTATGAGGGTTCAGGCCAGCCTGCACATACCCTGACACCTTGTTCAAAAAATAAAAGCAGCAAAAAAAGATTAGGGATGTACCTCAAGTGGCAAAGTACCCACATAGGAAGTGCAAGCACAAGGCTCCAAAAGCACTTTTGTTTGTTTTTTTTTTGGTCGTGGGGCCTGGTCGTGAACTCTGGGCCTGGGCGCTGTCCCTCAGCTCTTCAGCTCAAGGCTAGCACTCTACCCCTTGAGCCACAGCGCCACTTCCAGTTTTTTCTGCTTATGTGGTGCTGAGGAATCAAACCCAGGGCCTCATGCATGCAAGGCAAGCGCTCTACCACTGAGCCACCTTCCCAGCCCTTAAAAAAATTTTTTTTAAGTAATAAAGATCAAAACTATTTGAATGATTATCTAATATTTTTCTTTCTGAGAGATATTGATAAAGTGGTCTCACTGTGATTTTTGGTCCATTTCTCCTTATACTTAACAGGCTTTGCTTTAAATAGTTTGAGTCTCAGGTATTAGATGAACAATGTCCCACAACTATTTTCTCTTCTTGCTGAAGGACTCTTTCATCACTAAGAATTATTTCCTTTTACTTTCTTTCTCCCTTGACTTCCACTGGTAGTAACCTTGCTGCACCTAGAGTAGGATGCCTTGATCAGTAAGTTACTCCACTCACTGCTTCCCGTCTTGAATCCATCCACTTGCCACCAGACGTGGCCATTTTTCCATGGAGACATTGAGTGAACTTCTCTGCTGCTGAATCATGGCTTCCATCTGTGCCATGCTTTGAAAACAGGAGGCCGCAGAACAGATGCTGCTACCTCAGATGGAGACTGGGCCTCAGTTCTCGCAGCTGCTGAATTGTCTAGTACGCTGCTGCCACCCTGTGCAAGAAGCCTGGACTCACTTCCTGGAGGATGAGCGGCCATGTGGAGGAGGTGGCCAAGAGCCGGAGACGGTGCAAAGCCATCTTAGCTGACTACAAGCTTGGGTAGCCTAGGGGAGACGACAGAGCTGCCCAGCTAAATGCCAGTCATATCCCCACCCACTGCACTAGGAACTGCTTGTAACCCAAAGGCATCCAACATGGTGGATTTGTTGGTTACTTTGCAGTAGATAACTGAGAAAACAAGTGCAGAGCTTCTCACAGCCTTTTGATGTTACTTTGCGTTAGATGTATTTCTTATGATGGTACATAGTCGGAATATTTTAAAATCCAACTCACTAGCCAGTGTTATTTAGTAGCTGAGTTTAATTCTCCCTTGTTCAATTGTAGATATATATACATATATATTTACCATTAAAGAAAATTCCTTAGGCTCAGCATATCAAGGAGAGTTTGTGTGAACAAAGAAAAAAGTAAGACAAATAGAAATAAAAAATAAATACCCAGGAGGGGGGTGGGGGGGGGAGAAGGATTGGGACTGGGGGGGAGGGGGGAGGCTGGGAAGGGATGTGAAGGGTAAACAAAGGAGGAGGCTGCAATGCTTGGTAAGAAATGTATGCATTATCCTGCCCATGTAATTGTAACCCCTCTGTACAGTATGTTCACAAATAAAAAATAATAATAAATACCCACTCATGAACATAACAGCTCCCAGGATAAGAGCAGGCTCTGGAAACTCCAACTAACAGCATGATCTCACAGTTTTTATAGAAAGCTGGAATGACCCTTGGAAAAACAATTTATTTAAGCCTGGCATGGGGGCTCACGTCTGTAATCCCTGAACTCTGGAAGCAGAGGCAGGCAAATCCTGAGTTTGAGGCTAGCCTCGCTACTTAATGAGACGCTGTCTCAAAATGTAACAAGTAGAACTTGACTATAGTTTAGTTAGCCAGGAAGCTCCATTGACCTCCAAAACCAAGATAGTAAACTGGTGCTGTTTTAAAGTACCAGTTTGTGATAAGTTAATGTACAGCAACAGGAAACCAACACAGCATAGCAATTAGAAAACCGAAGATAAGATGTCAGAATAAGTACTGTTAAATGAAATTTGCAGTAGGCCATGGGTTTGGACTAAGCACTGGTATTAGACCCAAGAGACTAAGCCAATATAGAGTTCATGGCCTTGTAAAGTATTAACTAGTTAAACTCTCACTAGTTAAAACCTAACCTACTGTTGTCAGAGCTGCAGTATTTCTGGTGATTCTAGCTAGGAAAGATTTTCTCTCCCTTCTACCTTCTGGGAGCTATCTGCACTCCTTGGCTTGGAGTCCCTTCCTGCTTCATCACCCACTGCTTTTGACTAACTCTTCTGCCTTCTTCTTTCCTTTATTAGAATCTTGATGATTATATCGGAGCCACCCAGATATCAGAACAACTTCTCCAACTCTTTAATTTAATCATGCCTGCAGAAACACCTCTTTAAGATATAAGGCAACATGTATGATTCTAGGAGTTAGGAGACAGAGATCTTTTTCTTTTTGGTGGAGAAGGTATTACTCTTTTCTTTTCTTTATTTCCTGGTCTAGCAAGATATTCATGGCTACAAATGACAGAGACCTCAGTAATACAGTGGCTTAATTGACAGCAGGTTTAAAGGTTCGTGTAACTGGGTACCCAGAAGGAGAATAGGGCTGTGATTCAGCAGCGTTATCATGGACCCTAGTTCTCTTCAGCTCTTTAGTTTGCTATCGGCAGAGCAGTGCTTAGTCAAATTGGGCCTCTGACTTGAAGTTGAAAGTGCCCCACAATCTATGGCCATGTGGTCCATAACTCGGAAGTAGGAAATGATACTTAGGAGCAGATGCCAATCACATCTGCCTTTTGATTAGGTTATCTTTGCTCCATGTCCGTCCTACATTTTATTCCTATATGTCTAGTGGGTATTTGCTAAAGAAATTTATGTGCTTTAACTTGTAGATTTCTAATAATGAGTATTGCTAATTAGCATCACCCTCTGAATAAAGAAAAAGAAGAGAGTATGAAGCTTTAACTTCTTTCTGGAATTCTCTGGCAATGTACATGTTGTTTTGCTTAAATTTTTTTTTCAGAGGTACTGGGGTTTGAACTTACGGCCTCATGCTTGCTTAGCTTGTTTGATTATGGCTGGTGCCCAACCACTTGAGCCATGACTTTAGTCAGGCCTGTTATTTGTTTATTTGTTTGTTTATTTGTTTGTTTATTTATGTCAGTTATGGGGCTTGAACTTGGGTCCTGGGCACTGTCCCTGAGCTCTTTTGCTCACACTTAGTGCTCTACCACCTTAAGCCATAGTGGCACTTCTGGTTTTCTGGTGGTTAATTGGATATAAGAATCTCACAGACTTTCCTAAGCAGGCTGGCTTTGAACTGTGATCCTCAGATTTCAGCCTCCTGAATAGCTAGGATTACAGGTGTGAGCCACCAGTCTCCAGTCAGGCCTTTTATTTTGAGATGGAGTCTCTTGGAGGTTTCTGCCCAAGCTAGCTTTGAACTTTGATCCTCCAGATCTCAGCCTCCTAAGCTAGGATTACAAGTGTGAGTCACTGGTTCTGGGTTTTATTTTTATTTTTAAATATAAGCAATACTTACATACCATTACCTTTCCCTGAATTCTCTCATCCTCCCTCTATCTTTTTTTCTCTCTCTCTGTTTCTGTCTCTCTGTCTCTGTCTCTCTCTGTCTCTCTGTCTCTGTCTCTGTCTCTGTCTCTCTCTCTCTCTCTCTCTTTGGACCTAAGAAATCCTTGCCTATTTTTTTTTTTTTTTTTTGTTGGTCGTGGGGCTTGAACTCTGGGCCTGGGCGCTGTCCCTCAGCTCAAGGTGAGCGCTCTACCACTTGAGCTACAGCGCCACTTCCAGCTTTCTGGTGGTTTTATTGGAAATAGGAGTCTCACGGTCTCTCCTGCCCGGGCTGGCTTTGAACCTCGATCCTCAGATCTCAGCCTCCTGAGTAGCTAGGATTACAGGCATGAGCCACCAGCGCCCAGCTCCTTGCCTATTTTTAAAGGAATATCTATTCCCTATCTATCAACTTCTAGAATTTTTTTAATGATTGTTGGGACATTTTAGGTCTTATCTCTGTGTTGCTTAGCTTTTCTTTCTTCCCATATCTCTTGGTCCTGCATTTTGGGGATGTCCTACACAACTTTGCAGTTCACTGTTCATTTAGTCAATGTTTCTGTCATTCATCTTATGTGACCAGAAGACATGAATAACTATTTCTCCAAAAGAGATACATAAATAGGGCTGGGAAGGTGGCTCAGTGGTAGAGCACTTGCTTTGCATGCATGAGGCCCTGGGTTCGATTCCTCAGCACCACACAAGCAAAAAGAAAAAAGCTAGAAGTAGTGCTGTGGCTCAAGTGGTAGAGCGCTAGCCTTGAGCTGAAGAGCTGGAGGACAGCGCCCAGGCCCAGAGTTCAGGCCCCACGACCGGACCCAAAAAACAAGAGATATATATATAGCCAGTAAGCCTGAGAGAAGTTATCAACATCACTAAGTTTTAGGGGTATTTTAAACAAAAGCACATTGAGATATCACTTCATATCCATGAAGGATATATTATTATGATCACCCGGTGTGGTGGCTGTTCACCTCTAATCTTATACTGAGGAGGCTAATGGAATAAGACCTTTCTTCTTTTCTTTCTTTCTTTCTTTTTTTTTTTTTGTGGGTCATGGGGCCTGAACTCTAGGCCTGGACGCTGTCCCTCAGCTTTTCAGCTCAAGGCTAGTGTGCTACCACTTGAGCCACAGTGCCACTTCTGGCTTTTTCTGCTTATGTGGTGCTGAGGAATTGAACCCAGGGCCTCATGCATGCAAGGCAAGTGCTCTACCACTGAGCCACCTTCCCAGCCCCTGAGTAAGAGCTTGAGATGGAGGCCAGTATGTTACATAATGAAAACTTATCTCAAATATAAGCAAGTAATAAAGGAAAAAAGAAGGAAGAAAGAAAGTAAAAGAAGCAAAAAGGAGAGAAAGAAAGAGAAAAAACAAAAAGCAGTCTAGGGCTGAGGGTGTATGACTAAGAGGCATAGCAGTCGAGTGAGACCCTTGGTTTGATCCCCAGCATCACCACAAAGCAAAAATCAACAAACAACAAACAAAATGCCCCAAGCAATGGTAGCAACAAACCAAAACAGACAATTGTTGGAGAAGATGTGGAGAAACTGGAACTCTTCTACATTATTAGTAGAATTAGAAAGGAAGCAACTGCTGTGGGAAAATGTATGGCTATTCATGTTTTAAAAATTGTATGTAAGCTGAGCACTAGTAGCTCACACTTCTAATCCCTACTTTGCAGGAGGCTGAGGTCTGAAGGACCATGGTTCCAAGCCAGTCTAGGCAGAAAAAGCTGTAAGACTGTAAAAGAACCAGCAAAACATCAGGCTGGAGGCGTGGCAGAGTAACTGCCAAACCAGCTGAGTGAGCATAAAGCCCTGAGTTCAAACCTCAGTACTGCAAACATGAGATAACACAAAGAACCTAAACACAGAGTTAAGCATCTAATTCAAATGTGAGATGTCTCCCATGAGCTCACACTTTCAATACTTGCATGTCCCCAGCTAGTTGGCACTATTTGGGGGAGGTTCTGGAAACTTTCGTGGTGGGACTTAAAGTTCTACTTTCTTCTTCAGGAAGCAGATCACTGGTCGGGGAGGAGGATGGGTCATGCCTTTGAAGATTTCATTTGGACCTCAGTCCTTCTTTATTCTCTGCTTCCTGACTACCCAGAGGTGAACAGCCTCTGCCCTGGTGTTCTGTCTCACCATAGGTCCAGAACCACAGAGCCAAGTAGCCACAGATGGAACCCTCTGAAACCATAGCACAGGGAATCTTTCCTCCTCCCATAAGTACCTTCTGTCAGACATTTGGTCACAGTGACAAATAAACTGACTATCACCTATCTTCCAGAAATTTCATATTGAGTGAAATGTCAAAAACACTGGAAAGTGAGGTGCTGGTGGTTCACACTTATAATCCTAGCTACTTAGGAGGCTGAGATCTGAAAATTGCAGTTCAAAGCTAGCCCTGGAAGGAAAGTCCGTGAGACTCTTATCTCTAATTAGCCACCAGAAAACTGGAAGTGGTACTGTGGATCAAAGTGGTAGAGCCTTGAACAAGAGCCCAGGGACAAGCACCCAGGCCCTGAGTTCAAGTTCCCTAACTGACCAAAAAAAACCCCAAGCAAAAACAAAAACACAAAAACAGCACAGAAAGCAGAGCCTCATATAGATGTTTATACACATGTTCACAGCAGCATGCATTATTCACAAATAGGTAAAAGAGAGAAACAATCCAAATGTCCATCTTCAGATGAATGTATAATTAACATATAATGGGCCTTAAAAAGGAATGAAAGTGTGATGACAGGGTAAAAATCGATACATCTTAAAATAGTTTATGAAAGGAAATGAGCCAGATACAAGAAGACAAATATTGCATGAAGTCACTTCCATGAATACAAAAATGGTTAAAAATTTGCAGACAGAATAATAGTCTCCAGAGGGTGTGTGTGTGTGTGTGTGTCTGTGTGTGTCTGTGTGTGTGTGTGTATGTTTGTGTATGTGTCTGTGTGTCTGTGTGTAGGCAATGGAGTTACTATTTAATGGGTAGAGTTTAGTTTAGGAGGATGAAAATGTGGAGATGATGGCACAAACAATGTGAATAATTGCCTGCCACTGACTTGCACATGTTAAAATAGTAAATTTGACATTATGTATGCTTGTCTTTCTTTTTGAGACTGGGTCTCACTATGCAGCCCAGGTTGTCCTCGAACTTGTGATCCTACTGCCGTAGCCTCCTAAGTGCTGGTACTGAGATTATAGGTGTGTGTCACCATACTGGCTTTTATAAATTGAACTGTATGATTATTGGCAAAGCAGTTTATGTTTCCTTTTTTTCCATTGTTAGAAATGAAACTTAAGGCCTTGTACATGCTAGACTGAGCTCCATATGTAACTGATGTTGTATATATTTTACCATATTAAAAAAAAAAAGACAGTGTGGGCTGGGAATGTGGCTTAGTGGTAGAGTGCTTGCCTAGCATGCATGAAGCCCTGGATTCAATTCCTCAGTCACATAAACAGAAAAAAATGGAAGTGGTGCTGTAGTTCAAATGGTAGAGCACTAGCCTTGAGCACAGAGAGGCTCAGGGACAGAGCCCAGGTCCTGAGTTCAAGACCCAGGATCAGAAAAAAAAAAAAAGAAAAAAGAAGAAGAAAAAAGAAACGTATGACCCAGTAATTCCACTTCAAATTTACATGAGACAGACAAGCAAAAGGATGCGTTTAAGAATGCTTTAAGCAGCTTTATCCCTAATAGCCCAAATAGGAAGTAGCCTAAGACATTCATCCATAGAATGGCTAAGCTACACACACACATAACTAATATAAACAAGTAATAACTGTGTGTGTTAGTATAACAGAACATTATTGAACTCATTCTACCAGTGTTGCTGAACAGTTCATGAACATAGGCTGTTTTAGCCCAGTTTTTTGTGTTTCTTTGGCCCCAGGTGGTGGGCTTTCCTATTCATCCCAGATTCTCACACCTCAGGGTCAATATTCTCTGTAGCTGATTCTGTTAAGACTCTTCTCCTTCTCTCAAAGGAAGTCCCCATTAGTACCTGTGCTTAGCCTCCATGACTTCCCTTCCTGTATCCTGTTTCCCCATTAGGTTGGGATCCAACCATTGCTAGGCTGACTGGAGTCCACCTCTCAGCAGGAGGTCATCTAGGCATTGGGATGCTCCATGTACCTGGGTCCTAGTTTTCATTTCTATTCATTTCATGGCTGTTGTTCTAACTGGTCTTCCATTTCAAGGTAAACCCTTTGGCCATCGTTGTGTAGGGCCTCTGAGTGCCCTTGAGGGGGATAGTTCCCCGTGGCAAGCACCAGTCTCCTCCAGGTGGCCAGGTGGCAATATGAGCCATCCGTTCTGTGTAGTGTTGAGGCAGACACTTCAGCCTTACAATCTGGTTCTAAATCTCAGCTTTACCAGGTTCTTGTAAACCACCTGACTTTATTATGCCTTAGTTACTTGATGTCTATAAAGGGGATGGTGATACAGTAGTGGTGAGAATTGTGAGGGCTTCAGTGAGTACAATGGAAAGTTCTTGGAGCAGTATCTGCTGCACAGGAAGTGCTGAAAAGTCTTTACACCATAAAGCCCTGGAATTGCACCTCAGACTACCGTGTTCTCCACATTCTGTGGAAGAATTTTTTCCCAAGTGACAAATGAAATAACAATGCATGCTAGTTCAGGATCTCCTGACTTGAATGATCAAGTCAGGACACCACACTATTTATTTGAACAGAAAAGATCTAGAGTAAAAAGTTATTAACTAGTAAATAGGGATAAATAATACTGGAATTGCCAGCTGAAGTCTCACTTCTAATCTTACCTATTAAGAAGGCTAAAACCTAGAGAATTGTGTTTCAAAACCAACCCAGGCAGAAAAGACTGTGAGACTCCATCTCCAAAAAGAACCAGCAAAAGACAAGTTTGGCAGTGTGGCTCAAGTGGTGAGAGTGTTAGCCTTGAGTGATAAAGCTGAGTGATTGCCAAGGCCTCACTGAGTTCAACCCATGCCCCTTACTGCCCTCCCCTGCCACCCATACAAAAGAGTACCAGTCTACCAGCTGAAGGGAGCAGCTGCTAGCTCCAGGACCTTAGCAGAGATCTAGAGTTCAGGGGTGCCGGCACAGAAGTGACCCTCTGAGTGGCAAAGAAGTTGGCTGAGAGGCTGAGTCAGGGTTGACAAATGGGAAACTATCTGCTGGGTGCTGGGAATATCTTACTGGGAAGCGAGAAAGACAGTACTGGGCCAAGGAAGAAAAGCCCATTAGTGCTCCTTCAGCACTTTTACTGACAAGGCCTGTGAGGGTGGTGGTAGACCAGCTGACAAAGCACAGTGTCTACAGGTCAGATCCAGGATTATAGAGCAGGCAAGGAAGGGTGTCTTATCAAGGTGATAGACAGAGGAGTTACAGTTACAAAAGTCAGCTAATGAGTACATTTCTTTTTGGATAGCGTCACCCCTTCCCTTGTCTCTCCCAGTTTTTCCCTCCTATCTCCACTCACACGTTGTATAGCACATTTTCAACATAGTGTCCAGTGAGTGCCCTTGCTGCTTTTGTCCACCCTTTGTCCCGCCATTTCTATGCTCCCCTTACCCTCCCAAAGACATATGAGCGAACGAAGAAGAGAAAAATAAAACAAAAACAGGAGAAAAGGAAAAAAAACCCTCTTGTTTCCATTTCCTGGAGTTAATTTCGATAAACCTTATTTTGCATGATTAGATCCACATAGACATTGTGCCTTTTGTGTTCATCTCCTAAGATGGAGCAGAGGTCTTAACTGACTGGTTCACACTGCTTTATGTTCTATAATTTAAACATATGAC